AAAATAATCGACAGATTAATCGATTATTAAAATAATCATTAGTTGCAGCCCTAATTTCTATAATATTAATAATAAATAGTTGTAATTGTGACCTAAAAACGAATTATAAAATCAAAGCTTGAGTGAACCATAACATCTCTAGATTTGACAAATACTCTGCATTAAATGAAAAACTATAAATGAAAACGTTTAACCGAAAATTAGCTCCACATCATAAGAGCAGTTTTGTTTTCTGTTTTGATTTATTTTTTTAATCTCATCATAGGCACTCACCTCTCAATGGCTTTGTGGATCCTCCTCCACTGGGGATAATTACCCTCAGACTCAAACCCCCCTCCTCGAGCTTTGGCCTGCTGGGCGACGTTGATGGCGCGCGTATCGATTATGTATCCCCGTTTCCCCGGCCTCAGAGTGGCATTGATCAACTTCTCGTCTTCCTTGCAGCGTCGCCCGTTCGTGCCCGTCAGCGGCTGCCCGGCTCGCATCATCACCTGAAAGGGGAAGTCGTTTCAGGACAAAGTCACGATGATCCCGTCTGCTCAAACCACACGAATATCGATGCTAAAATAGAGATTTCTGTGCACTCGCCATGCCGTTCTTCTTGTGGTAGTAGCTAAGCACCGGAAAACGTCCACCATGACGGAAGGTGGCTACTTTTTTCAGAAGGTCGTCGTCGATGTGTTTGGGCACTGCCACTAGAGGGGGGTAAGAAGGACACACGTTGAAGTCCTTGTTGACGTCACTCAGTCTCCACTCATCTGTCTGAAAAAGGAGATTTGAGTGAAGTTCAGAAAGGATATAAACGGTGATCGTAGTCTGATAGGCTTTAGGACTAACTGTGACAAATCAGAACCATACCATGGACTCCAAGTCTTTAAAGGTGTCCTGTGGAAGAAATGAATTCCATCCATCCTCTTTGACTTCAAACATGGGCCGGTAGAAGAACGGGTACATCAGGGAGATGGAATCAAGTGTGGACAGAGCCTTGGAAGGAATAAAGGATGATATACAATATTTCAGCAATCATTGAAAAACAAATGCTACATAGCAGAAGAAAAATCTGTATAAACCAGATGCTTCCTAGGGAGACCAGATCCCAACAAACCCAAATATGGAACAGAAAAGATGCTTACAAGGAACAATGTGGAACAATCACCAACGCTATGATGTCAAATTAAATTGTGATGAAGTTGTGTAGATAGAGAACTTGAATCATGAATTTCAATCCCCCCCCCCAAAAAATCATTCAAGGACTTTCAAGGATGAGTGTCATTTTTGGCTGTTTTCAAAAACTTGGTCTTGATCTCTTTTGTTCTAATTCACAAACTTTTTAGGATTTCAACAAGAACTCATGTCAATGCTGAAGAAAAATGAAAATAGATTTTCCATCCATCCATCCATTTTCTGTACACGCTTCTTCCTTTTCAGGGTTGCGTGGGTCACTGGTGCCCATATCCAGCAGTCACAG